GGAACACAAAGGTAAAGAATAAAAATGGCGACAAACAAGTATCTATCAATAATAACTTTAAATGTAAATGGATTAAATGCCCCAATCAAAAGACATAGGGTAACTGAGTGGATAAGAAAACATGACCCATATATCTGCTGTCTACAGGAAACCCACCTCAGAAGAAAAGACGCACACAGACAGATGGTGAAGGGATGGAAAAAGGTTTTTGAGGCGAATGGAAATGAAAAAAAAGCTGGGGTAGCAATACTTATATCTGACAAATTAGACCTCAAAGTGAAGTACATAAAATGAGATAAGGAAGGCCACTTCATAATACTAAAGGGAGCAATCCAAAAAGAAGAAATAACTCTGGTAAACATACACGCACCCAATATAGGAGCACCCAAATACATAAAAAAAACTTCTGGAGGAGATCAAGGGAGAGACTGACAGCAATACAATCATAGTAGGGGACTTTAATACCCCACTGTCACCATTGGACAAATCCTCTAAACAAAAAATCAGCAAAGAAACATCAATCATAAATGACTCACTAGATCAGATGGAATTAATTGACATCTTCAGAACATTTCCCCCAAAGCCACAGAATATACATTCTTCTCAAGTGCACATGGGTCATTTTCAAAGATAGACCATATATTGGGTCACAGGCAAAGTCTCTTCAAATTCAAGAAGATAGAAATCATATCAAGCATCTTCTCAGATCACAATGACATAAAACTAGAAATCAAATACAATAAAAACAATCCAAAAAAATCAAACACATGGAGACTAAATAGCATGCTATTAAACAATGACTGGGTTACCAGAGAGATCAAAGAAGAAATAAAAAACATCATGGCAACAAACGACAATGAAAACACAACAATCCAAAACCTATGGGACACAGAGAAAGCAGTCTTGAAAGGGAAGTTCATAGCTCTACAAGCCTACTGCAAAAAACAAGAAACAATGATAATAAATTACCTAACCCTACAACTCAAAGAGTTAGAAAGAGAGCAACAAGAAAAGCCCAGTGTAAGCAGAAGGAAGGAAATAATAAAGATCAGAGTGGAGATAAATGACATAGAGACCAAAAAAACAATACAAAAAATCAACAAAACCAAGAGCTGGTTCTTTGAAAGGATAAACAAGATTGATGAACCTCTAGCCAGGCTCAACAAGAAACAAAGAGAGAGGACCCAAATAAACAACATCAGAAATGAAAGAGGAGAAATAACAACAGACCCCACAGAAATACAAAGGATTGTTAAAAAATACTATGAACAACTCTATTCCAACAAACTAGACAACCTGGAGGAAATGGACATATTCCTAGAAAAATACAACATTCCAAAACTCAATCAGAAAGAATCTAAAAATCTCAGCAGGCCAATAACTATGGAAGAAATTGAAGCAGTCATCAAAAAGCTTCCAGCAAACAAAAGCCCAGGGCCAGATGGCTTCACAGGGGAGTTTTACCAAACATTCAAGGAAGAACTAAAACCTACCCTCCTCAGACTACTACAAAAAATTCAAGAGGAAGGAACACTTCCAAGCTCATTCTATGAAGCCAGCATCACCCTAATACCAAAACCAGGTAAAGACATCACAATGAAAGAGAATTACAGGCCAATATCCCTCATGAACATAGATGCCAAAATCCTCAACAAAATCCTAGCAAATCAGATCCAGCAGTACATCAGAAAGATCATACACCATGACCAAGTAGGATTTATCCCAGGGATGCAAGGATGGTACAATATCCGCAAATCAGTAAACGTAATACATCACATAAACAAATTGAAAGAAAAAAACCACAGTCATATCAATTGATGCAGAAAAAGCATTTGGCAAAATCCAACACCCATTTTTGATAAAAACTCTCAGCAAGGTGGGAATAGAAGGATCATACCTCAACATAATAAAAGCCATATGACAAACCCACAGCCAACATCATACTCAATGGACAAAAACTAAAACCATTTCCCCTAAGAACAGGAACAAGACAGGGATGCCCACTCTCACAACTCCTGTTCGACATAGTACTGGAAGTATTAGCCATTGCAATTAGACAAGAAGAAATAAAAGGCATCCAAATTGGAAATGAAGAAGTAAAACTGTCCTTATTTGCGGATGACATGATATTGTACATAAAAAAACCCTAAAGACTCCATCAAAAAACTATTAGACTTAATAAATGAATTTGGCAATGTAGCAGGATACAAAATTAACGCCAAGAAATCTATGGCATTTCTATACACCAATAATGAACTCACAGAAAGAGAGACTAAAAAAGTAGTCCCATTTACCATCACACCAAAAAAAATTAAGATACCTAGGAATAAACTTAAGTAAAGAGGTAAAAGACCTCTACTCAGAAAACTACAGGATGTTGAAAAAAGAGATAGAGGAAGACATAAACAGATGGAAGAACATACCATGTTTTTGGATTTTTAGAATCAACATCATTAAAATGTCCATACTACCCAAAGCAATCTATAAATTCAATGCACTTCCCATTAAAATACCAAGGACATATTTCACAGACTTAGAACGAACTCTCCAAAAATTCATCTGGAATAAAAAAAGACCCCGAATAGCTGCAGGGATCCTGAGAAAGAAGAACAAAGTAGGTGGGATCTCGATACCAGATATCAAGCTGTATTACAAAGCCACTGTTCTCAAAACTGCCTGGTACTGGCACAAGAACAGACATATAGATCAATGGAATAGAATAGAGAACCCAGAAATCGACCCGAACCAATATGCTCAATTAATATTTGACAAAGGAGGCAAGAACATGCAATGGAGTCAAGACAGTCTCTTTAATAAATGGTGTTGGGAAAACTGGACAGATACATGCAAAAAAAATGAAACTAGACCACCAACTTACACCATACACAAAAATAAACTCAAAATGGATAAAGGACTTAAATGTAAGACGAGAAACCATAAAAATACTAGAGGACTACAGAGGCAACAAAATCTCAGACATATGCCGAAGCAATTTCTTCACCGATACAGCTCCTAGGACATTGGAAACTAAAGAGAAAATAAACAAATGGGACTACATCAAAATAAAAAGCTTCTGCACAGCAAAAGAAATCATCAACAAAACAACAAACTTAACAAAAGGAAGATAAACAATCCAATCAAAAAATGGGCAAAGGACCTAAATAGACACTTTTCAAAAGAGGACATTCAGAAAGCCAAGAGACATATGAAAACATGCTCCAAGTCACTAATCATCCGAGAGATGCAAATCAAAACAACAATGAGGTATCATCTCACACCTGTCAGAATGGCTATCATCAACAAATCTACAAACGACAAGTGATGGAGAGGATGCGGAGAAAAGGGAACACTCGTGCACTGCTGGTGGGAATGCAGACTGGTGCACCACTATGGAAGACAGTATGGAGTTTCCTCAAAAAGTTAAAAATGGAACTCTCACTTGACCCAGTGATCCCACTTCTAGGAATATATCCCAAGAAACCAGAAACACCAATCAGAAAGGATATATGCATCCCTATGTTCATAGCAGCACAATTTACCATTGCAAAGATCTGGAGGCAGCCTAAGTGCCCATCAGCAGATGAATGGATTAGAAAACTGTGGTACATCTACACGATGGAATACTATGCTGCTGTAAAAAAGAAGGAATTCTTACCATTTGCAACAGCATGGATGGAACTGGAGAGCATTATGCTAATAAGCCAGTCAATGAAAGAAAAATACCACATGATCTCACTCATTTACGGATAATAAAGACCATTATAAACTGATGAACAAAAATAGATACAGAGGCAGAGCAGCATCAAACAGACTGTCAAACAACAGCGGGAAGGCTGGGGAGGGTTGGGGGGTGTGAGGAGGGGGTAAGAGGTCAACCGAAGGACTTGTATGCATGCATATAAGCATAACCAATGGACACAAAACACTGGGTGGTAGGGGAGGCCGGGGGAATGTCAAGGGGAAAAAAAAAATAGACATATGTAATACTCTTTGTAATACTTTAAGCAATAAAACAAAATTAAAAAAAAATAGTATGAAATTTCAGCTGTGGCCTAATTCCTCATATTAGTAAATTCGAGTCAAACAGGTATGTAATATTATGCTTAAAAAACAAGGTCAGTAGCTCATTACTATATTTTGTATGTATATTTCTTAGTTCTAATTATTAATATAAAGCAATCTGTATAATTTAATTATTCGCTTAAAGCTATGGGTCCTGTTGCATATAATATGAGAAGAGTATAATACACTACAGTTTACAGAAAGTAGAAATCTGCTCACTACTGATTATCTAATACCTAGTGTAGGACCTGACCTATAGAAAACATTCAAATTTATATTTCCAGAATGAATGAATGAATGAATGAATGGGGAGAAAGCACCAATGAGAGAAGAAAGTGGCTGGTACATCCTCCATGTCCTTACAGGCAGGAAGGTGGAAGCCCTCCAGCACATCTGGACAGCAATACCTCTGGCAAAGTGGACATAAGAAGTACGCCCCCTGGTGGTACAGATTCCTTGAAAAGAGAGAGAGGCAAGGACAGAGAAGTGGCGCCACAGGGCAAATTAGCCACCAAAATGCCACATGCCTTCAGTCCTTGCCCAAGGGAAAGGAAGGATGGAAGGATGGATGGATGGATGGATGGATGGATGGATGGATGGACAGATGGATGGATGGACGGATGGATGGACGGATGATAATACTTTGGGGTAGAGCTAAAGATCTATAAGAAAATTTACACCTGATACTTATAGTGCTAAAAAGATGATAGAAAACTATCTGCTGAGAAGAAATGGGGAGGCACTGTGATCTTTAGGAAATAAGGTTCATTATCTTCATGATTTCCTATCACTACTGTCATATATTCCAATCTTTGCAGTATTTCAATGTTACTAATTTCAATGAGTAATTTGAAACAAGAATATCACAGCTGCTTAACAAAAAAAATCAACATTTTTACTAAACTATCACTAAAAGTAATGTAATATAGAGAACTTACTTTTCTGACAGATGCTCTAGTCTTCATGTGACTGTTTCTGAAAGTCTGGAAGGTTGCCATAACTATATTGCTGCTGTATGTGATGAATGAAGAGTTAATCCATAAAACACCTAAAGAACACATATTAAAAGAAAACAATTTATTACCTTTAGTGACTCAGGCAAGCATTTTGCCCTAAAATAACTTCTAAAATAGTTAGTTTTTGAGTAAAAACATAAACAAAAATTCTGAGCCATCAAATTTTTACTTAGCAATTCCAACAAGAATAGTTGAAAGATATGTTAATATCAGTACCTTAATATGATACCACATTATTACAAAAATTTTATTTTTATGTTCAAGGTTATTATAAAGTAGTTTATCATTCAATCTCGCTGCCCTTTTTATTGCAAATAAAAATATTTGAAAGCCTCAATAAGTATTTGAAAAACCTTTTAAAATCTAAAATAGAGAATATCACAAAAAGATTACAGCCTTCTTGTCTCCTAAAAGTCACTCTATCCTCATAGCAACTGTGAATGCTCTAGACATTCTTACTTCTTGAGCAGGTAAGTTTGATAATATACAAATAAAAATGTGAAATCTGTACATATCAAATTAAAATCAAATAAACAAAAACAAAGTCTTTATATAGTAATCTTAACAGCATACCAATGACTAGAGTTCAAAAAACATCCAAATTCAATGATGAATAGTACTTAACCCCTAGAGTGCCGGGGAGCGCAATCGCACTCCTCCTGTCTTTCGCCAAAAGTGCCGGGAGCACTATCAAAGCTTCGAAATGGCGTCCAGTTCTAAGTCTGCTTTTATTAGTGATGATGATATTGCTAAATATGTCGATGTAGTAAAGGTTCCCTTAAGTTTTTGAATACGTAACTTCATTTACTTGCGATTCATAATTTTTTTCCTAAACTGCTGTAAAATCAGCAAAAATGCCTTGGCAATTTTAGCATAGTTCCTAGGATATTGGTTAGCACTCAAAGGGTTAAAACACATGCGTGCACATGTGTGCACACAGATACAAAGCCCTTGGGAGACACTCTAAAATTAAGTCTTAACTTTTTAATCAATGCTTTAATAAAATACCTTTGAGAGCTTAAATCAACTCAGCATTAATCACTCAATATCAACATCTGACCACAGTAACTTGGTCATCATTCAACATTTACTTGCATTAGATGCTATGGATACAGGGGAGAACAGCCAGGAAAATGTTTTATTATAGTAAAGGGTGGGAATGGGAATTGAATTCTAAATCACTAAATAACTAAAAAATTTGAGTCAATAAAGATTTAATGGTTAATTAGTTTCAATCAAACTTGTCTTATAAAAATTACCTAACTGCCCTGGCCGGATGGCTCATTTAGTTGGCACATATTCCATACACCAAAAGGTTTTGGGTTCAATGCCCAGTCAGGGCACACACTCAGGTTTTGGGTTCGATCCCCAGTTGGGGATGTTTCTGTCTCTCTACATTCCTCCTGCTCTCTAAAAAAAAAAATCAATGACCATATCCTGAGATGAGGACTGAAAAAAAAAGAATAACCTTGTAGAAATTTTAAAGACATTCAGTTATTAATATTAATTTTATTATAAAGAGACTTATATGGAAAACCAAACTTCAACCTAGTCCCATTAGAACTGCAAAAAACACTAAATTTTAGCGGAGTTCTAATTTTATATTCTTGTACTATAGACATAAAGCTGAAGTGTGTGTGTGCACCCACACATGCACCTTCCTTTGCAGCAGTTCTCAACCTGTGGGTCGCGACCCCTTTGGCGGTTGAACGACCCTTTCACAGGGGTCGCCTAAGACCATCCTGCATATCAGATATTTACATTACGATTCATAACAGTAGCAACATTACAGTTAGGAAGTAGCAACGAAAATAATTTTATGGTTGGGTCACAACATGAGGAACTGTATTTAAAGGGCCAGAAGGTTGAGAACCACTGCTTTAGAGATTACTAGATTCTAATTTTCAGACAAAGAATTATGATTACATACTATTCTGAACTAAGATAAATCCTAGTGGTCTAACAATAAAATTTGATCAATGACTGGAACTGAAGTAGGACTGCAAGAAAGGAAACAGAGGTCCCCAAAACACATGATAAAGAGAGATACACCAGGATTCAGAAAAGTACCATTTGTGTTCCTGTTCTACCTCTCATTAGCTTTGTTTCCTTTAGGTAAATTGCAGTATCTCTGGATCTGTTTCCTCAATATATATATTACCTCACTTACCCAGAAAGTTTATTATGGGAATCAAATGGAAAATAACTTATAGGAGGCACTTTGGAAATTATAAAACATAGGTAAAATAAAAATTAAAATAATTATGGGGCAAAATGAACAAGAGGACCAAAATTATCAAAACAAGGTGTAAATATAAAGATTTATGTGGCCAAAACAAGAAAATAATCCTTTTATTTATCCCAAGCCAACTCACTCCCCTCCTCACCCCCAGAGTTCTCTTCAACTGCCAGAAGCCCTTAGGCCAATGGACTTGCCTCAAACTTCACCTAAAACATGTAATATAGAGGTCAACACAAGGGTTTCAGAAAACTCTCAAATTCAACTCCCAAGTAAACTGACACCACCTTTCTGGAGGGCAATTTTGAAATGCATATCAAAACCCTGAAAATATTCCTACCCTATGACACAACAATTCTACTTCTGGGAATCAGCAAAGGAAACGATGATTCTGGAGCATCTATGATTCTAACTAAAGTTTATAAAGCACCAAGTGCTTTGCTGAGATTATTAAGTTAATATCTCATTTAATCCTTAGGACTGAATGAGTAGTATTCCAATTTTATAATGAGAAAAACAGGCACGTGGAAATTAAGCAATTCATCCAAGCCCACACAGCAAGCAGTAGAGTGAGGACTCAAATCCAAATCTTCAAACTCTAACAACCAGGTATAAAGGTTTGAAAAGCTGTTCATCACACTTTATCGTAGAGAAAAATAAGCAGCACTCAAGATACCAGAAAAAAGGGAGTTACTGAATAAATTGTCATGCATTCCTGAGATGGTAATGGCAGCCTTTTAAAAACAATAAGGGCAGACGGGAGAGGCACACAAAACATCTTTACTTTCTCTGACTCCTGAAAGGGTGGAGTTGAAAAAAGAGATGGGAAAAAGCAATAACCTTTACAGCTGCTGACAAGAGGCAATATGAGCAAAGATTAAACACTAAATCATTGGAGGGGAAAAAAACTGACCAGTTATCTACATGAGCTGCTCACCTGAAGGTGCGACATGCCACGCCCACCTCAGGGCAGAAGAAAGAGTTCCAATGAGCTTGTGGGGAGGCCTGTGGTGCTCTCAGACAACATCCCAGATCTGACATCTCTAGCTACCCCAGTTCACTCTACCTACAATATTCCTGAGTAGCAAACCTAGATAGAACACTCTTTTCAAAGCAAAACAGAATCCAATACAGACCTATAAAGAAAAGTTTAAAAAATAAATAAAACCAATATAAGGAGGAATATACTAAAGAAAGAAAAAAAAAATCCAGACAAATATAATCATGCCACCCAAAATTTACATTATTTATTTTCAGGATAATACCTCAGAATTTATATTAATAAAAAAGAAACTAAATTTAATTTCACATCTACACTTTTCTTCACTCATTAAAAAAACACAATTATGAACCCTACTCCTTCACTGTGTATATCTTAAACATAAGTCAAACATCTCACAAAGAAAAAAAATCTATCAGAGAATATCTATGCAATGGTCCATAAAAGTGGACCTAACATGAGATTAAATGACTTGCACTCTGGTAAAGAAAAAACAATCACTTTGGAAATGATGCCAAGACAGATGGGGAGAAAGAGTAACAGCAGAATTTCTTCACTATCTTATATAATTAGAGTGTATGCAGTTTTAGACAGATTTCATAAGAGGAGCAAAAATACAGTATTTTTCCTGAGGACACTTCTGTGTTAAAATAATAAACTTTTCATTTAAAGTTTGTTTGTTTTTTTGCTCTGTGACCTATTCTAGGTGAATAAACAAGAGTCCTAAACAGGAAAATACTAATTGTGTTTCTCTATAGTCAAAGAAATGAAAGTGAACCTAAGTCATTTTTTTAAAAAGCAGATCCGAGACAAGAAAGTACAGACAGACAAGGGAAACAAGTCAAAAGTGAGCTGCCAGAGCTCAGGAAAGACACAGGATAGAAAAACAATAATATGAAATCCCTTAGAAACAGCAAAAAGCAGAACACACATTGTTTAAAACACTGGAACACCAAGGAAGTTTTAAGAAATATCACAAAATATAAAAGATAACAAATGAAAGCAATTAAAGAAACAACTATAAAGGGTACAGAAAACAGTATAGGACACTCTGAATAAGTTACACCTATCCTTTGATCCTGCAATTTCACATCTTATCCTACATATATACTTACAAAAATTCACAAAGATATATGTGAAAGAATATTAAAACAAAATAAGATAAAACACCAAAAATAATCTATAAGTCCATCAATTAAAATAAATTATAATATATTCATATTATTACCCAGCTGTTGGAAATAGTTATATCAATACATATTGATATGACAGCATGTCCACAAAATATTAATAGAAAAGACAAGTTACAGAACAGTGTAAATAGTGTGCTCTCTACTTGTGATTAAAAGAAAAATTACAAACACAACTCTTACACACCTATGTATGCACACACCTAGGAAAAATGACAGATACAGACTAAATTCATGATAGTGGTCACTCATGACAATTAAGTTGTTTTTTTAAATGTTATAAAATGTCATATAACATGGGAAGACTAGTGTCCCAGTGCACGGATTCATGCACATTGAAAGGAAATTAATTAGAAGAAATATTTTCATATCGCTATTCGCATCTTGCTAATGAAAAGAAAATAGGATTCTACCGAGTATCCTATCTACCTCCTCCAGGACTTCTGTGAGGATCAAATGAGATGAGGCACAGGAAAACGCTTCACATTTGGTTAAACTGTAAAATGTTTGCACCTGGCTATAAAGCAAGTCGGGTTCCTGGGATAAAGAAATTCCAAGGATGCTAGTCTCTAGGGAGAGAAAGCCAGGTGTTGCTACGTGACA